TCTTGGGCTCATAGTCATCTGTGATAACAATACTGACGTGGAAATTAATCACAGAATAATTATGGGAAATAAATGTTATTATGAAATGCAGAATTTGCTTAGGTCAAAACTTCTAAGAAAAGATACTAAATGTAAAATATATAAAACACTTATAAAATCTGTTGTACTTTATGGTAGTGAGAGTTGGACACTCACTAAATTGAATGAAGATAAACTAAAACTTTTGAAATAAAAATTCTAAGGAAGATCTATGGCCGAAGCGGTGTAAATGGAGTATGAAGAACAAAATATAATGAAGAATTATATAAATTGTTCAAAGAAACAAATATAGTAAAAGTAAAAAAGTAAATAAAGCTAACCCTGTAAGAGGTCATGAAGGCCCATAGGGTTGTGAGACGTTGAGGGTCCCACATTATCTAGACAATCGGCTCAAAGATGGCGGTAAGGTTGTCAGCCTTACGCGCCGGCTGCGCTTTACTCCCCAGGAAAATTATTTAATTAATTCCTGGTACTCATTTCTGTTAGAGGCTGAGTGAACCCCAGGGCATAGTGCGGCTGGAAGGATTAGGTCAACTGAAAGAAAATCCAATGACCTCAACGGGACTTGAACCCGCGACCTTCCGGCTTGTAGCATAGCCCCCTCAATCAACTACGCTACCGCGTGCCCCGAACCAAATATATAGTGCAGTCAATAAAATAAATAGACTGAACCGGCTAGGGCATGTCAGAAGATGGATGAAAAATTGCTCTGTAGGGAACTATGCTTCATCCAGCTAGAAGGCAGGACCAAAATGTAGGTGGCTGGAAGCGCTCAAAATTTTAAAAGTGACAGCTTGGTGGAAGAAGGCACGTGACAGGAATAGTTGGAAGGCTGTTATCAAGGAGGCCAAGGCTCACAAGGGGCTGTAGCGCCAGATAAGGAGAAGAATAATACTGAATATCTAAGTATTTCTGCAACAGTCCTTGCTAATTAGCTTTCTGCACAAGTGCGAGGTAGTTATAAAAGCAGCGAAGTTTCTAGGTGTCAACCTGTGCCTGAGGATCACGCTCTCTGACGTGGACAGGAAACATCTAACAACGTGACCAAGCTATCGTATGGCTATGAACGACCACTGATTCATTCAGACCACAAAAGGTAGCCTTACATTAAAATTTATACCAGTAGTTATCAGTTACTTGAGGTGCAGTAGCGCAGGCGGTTAGTCGCCGGCTTCCCACCGCGGTGGCCAGGGTTCGAGCCCAGGTCAGGTCATGTGGAATATGCGGTGGATAAAGTGCCACTGGGGCAGGTTTTCTCCTAGTGCTTATGTTTCCTCTGCCAATTCTCATTCCACTGACTGCCCCACACTCATCATCTATCATCCGGGGTTAGTACAATAGGCCAATTAGTGGCCAATGTACCACGTGGACTCAGTCTCACCCCATATCAAGAACTACTTTAGGTGCAGACCAAAGAGCCACGAGGACTATATACAGGATGTTTCACAACTTTAGCGTATAACTGCATGAGGTGATTTCCTAGGTCTTTATGATCAAAAAAGTTCATATAAACGTGTTCCAATTTTGGACGGTTACGGAGTTACGACCGTTTTTTCAATCCCGTACACGCCCTCGTGTGAACCGCGTCTGTCAGCTGGCGGGTCGCTATTTTTAGCCAGCTACAGACAGAGCGTTCTCCTTATCTCGACACTTGAGCGCTACCTAAGGAGGGGTGGGTTGGTATATCCGGCGCGGTTCACAACCGAGCGGCAGCCTGTGTTGCGGCCGGCGGTGGCATTTTCGAAAATCAGCTTTAAGCACCAATAAATTCAAATTAAAGGTAATTTCACGAAGTTAACTTTACATTCATACTTCAAATGTATCATGTATTATGCTGGTTTATTATTTTGTTCCGTTTATTGTTAGTAATCGTTAACTTCTATTCTGAGTTTAAAACGGCCATAACTCCGTAACCGTCCAAAATCGGACACATGTTTATATGGACTTTTTTGATCACAAAGACTTAGGAAATCACCTCCTGCCGTTATGCCCTAAAGTCGTGAAACAGTATATGGAAAGCGAGCACTAGTGTTGGTGATGGTGGTGGTAGTAGTAATTCTCACAGATAAAACCACAGCCCACACTTCTTAACAGTGCATTCTGAAATATCCTGTGTATTCAGGAAATGTCTTCAGAATCCTGTAGCCGCACGGTTTCGGAGCATTCACGTCCAGATTCATCTTTCGAATTCCGCTCCTAGTTTGGACACTTGTCTGTTTGGGACTAGTTTACTCAATTTATAACGAAATATTTAACCTTATACTATTAAAATATCCGCGTGTTTCTCTCCCTTAATAACGTTTGATAAAACTGGAACATTATCATAATATTTCATATGAATATCCTATCACTTGAGAAGCATTTATGTATAAACACAGAGATTATAAATGACATAAAAAAGGTAAAGCTATCCCTGTAACAGGCCGTGGAGGCCCATTGGGTTGTGAGACGTTGAGGCTCCCACATTATCTAGACAATCGGCTCACAGATTGCGGTAAGTTTTTCAGCCTTACGCCCCGACCGCCCTTTACCCCCCGGAAGATTCCTGGTACTCAGTTCTGTTAGAGGCTGAGTCGACCCCAGGGCCATAGTGCGGCTGGAAGAATTAGGTAAATTGAAAAATCCAGTGACCTCATCGTAAATCCAACCCGCGACCTTACGGATTGTAGCTTAGTGCCTCAACCAACTACGCTACAGCATGTTATAATGAAATGCAGAATAATTTTATCTCTTGCTTTGTATGGGTGTGAAACTTAGTCGGGGCGAAAGTCTCGCAGTCGTCGAAGTGTACCATTGGCTTAATTCAAATCACAGATTTATTTAATTGGTTCTGTGTCAAATAAAAACTATATTTAAGAGGCACCTCGCTATTATAATCGTCACACTAAAGCAGGTGGGTGGACATGCTCCGCCATCTTAGTGTAGCTGCGTGCCATTTTGTAGAAGTTTGGGAGCCTGTCTAGCCCAAATAATGCCTTTCGAGCCATTTAAACGTATATCTTTGAACTCGTATTTCCTAGCGTAGTAGTACCATCACAAAAGAAAATAACTGCGGAGAAATTTGTGATTTTAGTTGTCTGTGTAGCTCTCGAGAGCCCACCGCTGCGCTTAAGCGTTAGTTACTCCATGAGACCATGATGAAAGAATAAAACGATCCTGCAAAAATGTTCCGCCCGGCACGCTGATGCGATCAGGCCTGCCGCTAGTTCCTCCTGCTTTCTTCCTCCACGTCGTCTGACACGAGAATACGGTAATTAGAATAAATTCCTTTTGTCTCTAGCACGCCTACCACTACATACACGTACATTTCATTGTCTAAAATACAAACTGTATTGTGGTTACTTGTATATTTCCCACTATGTTCATGTTATTGGGAATAAATGATAACATATACATAAACATATCATGTTAGTGGTTCTGTGGTCACTCCCTTACTGTTTGATTCATTCTTGATTGATATAACGTCTTCTCAACTGCATATGTTATCTAGCGTGGAATGGGAGGATAACTGGAAAATAAACTAGGAATGGTGGCATATGCTAAGGCACTTGCCAGGAGAAAGTAAGTTAAATTAATAGGTTTCTCTTATGCTACTTTTAAAACCTAAAATAAGAACAAGCCTAATCCTGTATCTGTAGGTGCAAAAACGCTCTATGTTAAACTTTACGATTTCATTTATTTATTATTGTAGAATGTTATAGCAGTGCACTGCAAAAATAATTAAACTGGTGTAGAAACTCGGTAGTTTCCTCTTATGTGGAACGTGTTAGAATGGCTGTGCTCCCACCACCAGTCGTCATAAAGGATGATCTGTATTGAATTTCTAACGCATAAGAAGCTAGTGACGTGAAGTAAACCTCCCATTGTGATGGGAATCATCACCTTACATCGCCACATAAACTGAAAAATTGCGACTGCTACGGTCACCTCTGAGTAGAAGAGGAAAAAATAAAAAAAAAATAAATATGTAAATATACCTCTGTAACAGGCCCTGAAGGTTCATAGGGTTGTGACATTTTCTCTAGACAATCGACACGCAAATGGCGGTAAGATTGTCAGCCTTACGCGCTGGCCTCCGCGACGATGAAGTAATTTATATTTCGTGTCGAGACTTAGAGATCCGTGGTCTCTCTCGACTACGAAAACGCGTATAGACCTTTCTTCTCCGCTGAGATGAGAGTAAAGAGTAATCCTGGCACATTGTGTTTCTTGCAGACAGAATGAGAGCTGCCAACTTATCGCTGAATTGTAAATACTGGTTCAATGGCCATCAGGACCTCCCAACTTCTCCATCTTGTTCCTTCTTTATGATATGGGGTACGAAGGACAGAATTTATCGTCACTGTCAACAGGGGATAAATGATCTAAAGCAAAGCATGTAAACAGCTGTTGAAAGAGTTGATAGCTGAATTGTAAATACTGGTTCAATGGCCATCAGGACCTCCCAACTTCTCCATCTTAAGTTCCTTCTTTATGATATGGGGTATGAAGGACAGAATTTATCGTCACTGTCAACAGGGATAAATGATCTAAAGCAAAGCATGTAAACAGCTGTTGAAAGAGTTGATAACACTCCATCTGTGTGTCATAAGTCTACGTAGGGCTCTCATGTGTGCAGAGCGACAAAGTTTTATCTTTCTGAACACTTAGAGCACTTGACCTTGACACTCCTGGTGCTCAATCAGCTGCTGCTCGATGCAAGCACGTGCTCCCCAGTGCGCCATCTTTCACTGTTTGATATAATAATAGCCTCAGCAGAGATGAGTATTTTGGAACCGACACTTGGATATGTCGGAGACTTGCTCTAAGCACAACGACCCCCCAGGCGACACGACGCATAGGCGTCACACTGGAGGGGCGGAGCACACTACATTCAACACACGACGATCAATAATTCAACAAGCGATTGCTGAACTAACGCCAGGAGCTATGCAATTAAATACGTCCGGTCAGAGACTTACCTTTTGGTTAGCAACGTGACCACGAGATGTCAGGCTTATCAAGCACGTGTGGGAGCTGGTCCACAGACTACTGCGAGAATACTGCTTTTCTTCTCGACGACACAACCCTCATACCTCACTCCGCAAGCGCCATCGATTCTGTACCCTTCTCGGGCTCTTTCGGTCCTATTCGACCCTCTTCGTGTCACTAATGCATTCACGCAGATGTGAGAAGTGTCAACACGTCACGGGTTGGGGAGGTCGGCTCACCAGGCGGTAATATTCCTGATCTCAAATGGAATAAAACGTAAAAGAATATAATTTGCCTACGAACTGCCCTCAGCATCTCACAACCCTATGGGCCTTCACGGCCTGTTACAGGGATAGCTTTACTTACTTTACTGAAACATAGACCACACATAATCCAGTAATTAGAGTGGGTAGAACGGCTTCCAGATGGGCAAAGACGACCGAAGCGTAATGTGCGCAATTCTTCTCAATCTAATAAAAACGTCCGACAACGCAAGGCGCAAGCTGTACGATTCCGCAAGGGGTTGCGGTGTAAAAATATATTAACTTTACAGTGTCCCCATAAACTTCAGACGAGACTGAAATTCGCAACCTCCTCACTACATGTACAGCTAATTTTCTCTGCATCTCAGAACTGCACACATCCATAACACCTCTCCTCCCACGGGACGGGAATATTATAGCGAAATGTTATTTTCAATATAAATTCCTATAAGAACAGAAGAAATCACAAATTAATGTGTGTATGCTTCCTGGTGATCAAACACAGCCTCAGAGCTCCCCTTCCTGTAGCACAGATTTACGTTAGGTCACTGGAACGTTGTACTCGCGCTTTAATTTTAACAAAAGAGAAATCCATCCTAAATTGGTAAGATTGTTACCTACAAACACGGCCGCGCCATAGCTCAAGCGGTTAGTCGCTGACTTCCCACCGCGGCGGCCCGGGTTCGATCCCGGGTCTGGTCAACTGGGATTTGTGGTTGACAGAGTGGAGCTGGGGCAGGCTTTCCCCGAGTACTTCGGTTTCCCCTGCTAATCTTCATTCAACCAATTGCTCCACAATCACCCTCACCTATCATCTGGGGCTGGTACAATAGGCCAGAAGTGGCCGCAGTACAAGGGACTCAGTCCCACCCCACTAGCAATAAAAAAAATTACCTTCAAACACATCTTCAGAAATATTATGAAGATATTACAAGTAATGGCAAGGATATTAAAGGTAAGGTAAAACTGTCCCTGTGCCGGTCACGGTAGCCGAGCGGTCTAAGGCATGTACTGTCTTCGCTCGCTTGGAAACCGGGATCGTGGGTTCGAATCCCACTCAGGGCATGGATGTTTAGTTTGTGTGTGTGTGTTTCTTTCTGTGTTTGTGTACAGGTAGAGGCCTTGCGACGAGCTGATCACCTGCCCAAGGAGTCCTACCGAATGTTTAAGATCTAGAAAAACCGAAGTGAACGGAGAAGTTCATGGAGGTAGGCCTAGGCCCACTGGGGCTGTAGTGCCAAGAAAAAAAAAACTGTCCCTGTACTTAACTAATTAAGCACAACGTCACGAAGGCAGAGTGGATGTATGCATCCACATTTTCTTGACCTTGGCACTAGCTGGAGGTGAGTGCTCAGCTTCACACCTCTGCCGCTTCACCCCCCGGTACCCATTGTATAGGACGCTGGGCAGGCCCCAGAGCCGGTCTGGACGACGTGAAGAAGAGAAAACTTTTGACCTTACCGGGACTCGAACTCGGGCTCCTCGGTCGTCCAGCCCGACTAAGCTATCTCGGCTCTTCCCTGGCAAGGATATTAAGGTACAACCTGGAATTCTGAATTTTCACATTTTTTCAGTAATTAATGACTGGTGATTCGCCAAACAAACATTACTTTTTCACACAAGGAATTTTTAAATGGTACTTGCGAACTCGGCAACGCCACACATCCAGAACACACCAAACTGAGGTCAAGTGAGAGCATGTCATCCTCCTCGTCACTCCTAATTAGGGGAACTTCCCTACTGAATGGGTCGTTGGCATGAGCATCAAAACGCAGCGACTGGAAAATCGGGAACGCCGATCCAATGAGTATCCAACCATACACCTTCGATGCTCAGAAATGAATAAGATGCATTGGAAACACATGGCTAAAATATCACTGTAAATAGGGACAAATTTAAGAAAGTTTTTCTAACAGAATTAATTCGTATGTTCAAAGACAGCGAGGAGTTAAGAAAATTCGTTGTTTGGAAGTAACTGTAACTTCTTTACTTCTGAGCTTACTTTCCGAAATTTGTATATCGTGTTTAAACCTATTACGTATGTTGAACATGGAATTAGAGAAGTTAGTTGATAAGGCTAATTACATAGATATTGTGGAAGGACTTCTCCACAGACACGGATGAAGTGAGAAACACGCTCACAGCTACTACTGACTTCATCTGATACACCAGCAAAACGAGGTAAGTTCTGTTACGTATGAGGTTTAAATTATTCTGAAATGCAGCGGATAATGAGTAAGAGATTTCGTTAGTGATACAGGTTCATGATTCCGGACATCAAAATGTCCTGTTTGTTTTCACGGAGATTGATAAGTGTATGGTTCTACTGTCGTTCCACTTATCCCAAGTTAAGTGTAGTATTGTCCAGTATAAATAGACGTTATCTGTGTTCGTGTGTTCTCGACGAGTCATGTGTATCTCGCTGAATGCATAGTTGTTTCCGGTATGTCTTTAAACGTTTTCCCCATGTAACGCAATAGCAGAAATAATTATCCATATTGTGTGTTCTGATAAGTGATTACCGACGTTTCAGAGAAACAGACTGCCTCAATTACAATGCAGAGGCGGAAAATTAAGGCAGTGTAATCCTCCGAAACGTCCGTAGCCACCTACCAGATCATACGGCGTCATAGCGGAAGAGACCATATTGTGAAATTTCACATTCCTCGTACTCAGTTCTGTTAGAGGCTGAGTCTACCCCAGGGCCATAGCGCGGCTGGAAGGATTAGATAATCTGAAAAAAAAAATACAATGACCTCATCGGGACTCCAACCAGCTACCTTTAGGGTTGTAGCATAGTGCCTCAGTCAAGTACGCTACCCCGTGCCCCAAGAGCCCTGGATACTTATTGGATAGGAGACTGGGTGGTCCCAAAAACTGGCCTGGACGACGTGGAAAGGAGAAAATTGTAGACCCTACGGGGACTCGAACTCCAACCTCTCGGTCGTCCAACCCGTAGCCAGTCAGTATACTGAATGCCCTATCCCGGCTCTCAATAATGAAATGTACGTAGTCTAAAATTAAATTTATTGAAATATGATAATTGAGGCTTTCTAAAGGGCTCATAAGAGAAGGAAGTGGTTTTGGGGTCAAAACAAAGGAAGAAAGAACGGACACAACCTGCCGACCTCCCAACGCTTTTGTTCGTCACATTACGTAAGCGTGTCTGCATGCCTTGTATTCGAGACAAGCAGCCGAGCGCGTAAGTCCCGTAACGAAACTTTACAGTTGTTTTCTCACTTCAGAAGATGTTGCGGAAAGCAGCTCCTGATTATCACAGGTGAACCTTTCATAAATATTTGCTGGAATGTAGATAAAACCTCTGCTAGCCTCAGTGGTCGGATGGATCAATTTCTAAATGCGAAATGTGTAAATCAGTTCATTTTCGACAAAGTGTATCATGTAATTCGGTGAAGGTAAAAGGTAAAGCTATCCTTGTAACAGGACGTGGAGGCCCATAGAGTTGTGAGACGTCGAGGCTCCCACATTTTCTCTAGACAATAGGCTCACAGATGGCCTTACGCGCGGCCGCCATTTACCCCACAGGAAGATTCCTGGTACTCATTTCTGTTAGAGGGTGAATCAAAACCGAAGGCTACAGTGCGGCTGGAAGGTTTAGATCAGTTGAAAAAAATCCACCTCATCGGGACTTGAACCCGTGACCAGTGCCTGAACCAACTACGCTACAGCTTTTTCCTCTTATTGAATGTCTTTTGACTATGCAGAAGGGGAGGGGGAGCTGAAGTGAAATGATTCAGGTTTCAAAGTGGTGCGTGCTATACAACAGCAAGGAAGGGACATTAGCCACATTCTTTTAAAATATAAAATGACTGAATTTATAACTTGAGTCTGAATGAACTTCTACTTTAAAACGGATTGCTTAAAACTGCTATAATCAAGTTACGCATGTCCTCCTCTCAAAATATTTTATAAACAGGTTTTCACACTCTGGGAATAGTGGACAACGATAAAAACATAGTGAGAAGATTACTATGGTCACAAGGTATCTGCTCAAAAACTGAAACAAAAAAGCTTTTTCAGCGAGAACAATTAAGCTTTGGAAAAGAAAACTGCATNGACTATGGTTTCAAGGTATCTGCTCAAAAACTGACAATCCTCATCTAAAACAAGAGGAAGAAGAGCTTTTTCAGCGAGAACAATTAAGCTTTGGAAAAGAAAACTGCATATGGATGGACAAAACACTTTAGGAACCCATGTTTGCCGCACCAGTGTAATCCCTAACGCTCCCTTGTCATTTTCAGTAGACTGTTCAGCGACATATTTTTTTCATTACACGTTCATTTATATGATAATTGAGGAGCTATTTCAAGGAAATAGCGGCTCCGGTCTAGAAAACCAAGATTAACGGACGTGGGGGAACCGTTGCGCTGACCACGTGACATCCTCTGTCCGCAAATTTGGCACTAACTTCGCCGACAAGCGGCGGTCGCTCGGTCGGTATAGTTGTCTTACGGACTAAAGGCCACGGAGTTTTGTTTTGTTTCATTCATTTATGTCAAAAATATTATACTCAAAACGCGAAATAGAATAGGGACAAGCCTGTATATTAGTTTCCTCTTTATGTGGACATCGATATGGTTTCATGAATTTAAGGGCCGTTGCGCTTGATGTTAGTCTAGTTAAGCACCATGCTACAAAGACATATAGGAAAAATATAAGTGAAATTCAGTTCTTCTTAACCTTCAGTCTTTGACTGAGGTGAGCGATCCCAGCTGCTTTAACATAGGTGTCCATTATTCACGAGGCTGAGTGACCTCGGAGCGAGTTTGGATGCAACGAAGAAGAGAAAGATCACTCATCCTGGCCGGTAATCGAA